GGGTTCCATTGAGCCAGATTACACGATCTCTTGTATTGTGATCTGCATTGTGATCTGATCCTCTTTCCAGGAATCTGACTTCTTCTTATTCCCCTCCCCTCCACCTACCCTCTGCCCCCACCTCCTTCTCCAAATCTATGATCTGTGTTTTTATCCCTTCTGTGGCCACAGAATGGAGATGCAGCAGCTTCACTGACAGTGGCCGAGCAGTATGTCAGTGCGTTCTCCAAACTGGCCAAGGACTCCAACACTATCCTGCTGCCCTCCAACCCCGGCGATGTCAGTAGTATGGTGGCTCAGGTTAGAGTGCCCTGAGGACCCAGCACAGAACACCAATGCTAGAAACTGACCCCCCCCCCCATCACCACCATCAACAACTTACACACCATAGAGGCCTTCCAAGTACCCTGAGACCTAGACCTCCTGTTAGTCTCTGTAGAGAATAAATCTCTAAGAATGAGACACTCCCCCACCTTACCCCAGGAGATAGGGGAGCTCTTGAGATGTCTCTTTTTTTGGCAGATATCTATACCGGTATTCTGAGGGTGACCCTGTTCTGATAGTTTATAAGATTCCTAGAATCAACTCTAAAGTTTGAGTCTTGAGAGAGAAAGAGAGAAAGGAAAACAACCTTATTGGATCCAGCCCCACTTTCTTTTTAGTCATTGGTGGGTTGGGCTGTGCCTTCTGCCATGTGTCCTCATGGCTCACTCTCTGTCCCTCTTCTTAGGCCATGGGTGTGTATGGGGCCCTCACCAAAGCCCCAGTGCCAGGGGCCCAGGACTCAGTTTCCAGTGGGAGCAGCAGAGATGTCCAGGGCACAGATGCAAGTCTTGATGAGGAATTTGATCGCGTCAAACTGAGTTAATGGAGCGGGGCTTGGCCAGGGAGGCTGGGGACAGGGAAACAGTACTCCCAGACTCTGGCTCTAGCTTCCTTGCCAAGATTTTGTTATTATTTTTTTATTTGAACTTTAATCGTGTAATAAACTTGCCAATGGCAAACCAGAAACTGTCCTCTTTGATTGGGGAATGAAGTTAGGAAAGTCACCAGTGTTTTCCTTGGATATCCACTTCCATCCTCCAGTCCTCTCAGGTCTGGGAAGCTTATTCCTCCACCAGTAAGAATGAATGAACCTCGTGTAAATAAAATCCTTTTTGTCTTCAGGAGAAGCTTTGGGATAGGGTGGAAGGATTAAGCCACAGGTCTACTGACCTGCCAGCTGGGGAGTGTAGTTCTCCCTCCTGCTAACTATGGGGATGTGAATTTGAGCAGGTGCTTGAGGGGATTGGTTTTATTTTAAGTAAGCTTCATGCCCAATGTGGGACTTGAGCTCACAACCCCAAGATAAAAAGTCAACTGCTTGGGGCACCTGGGTGGCTCAGTCTTTTAAGCATCTGCCTTCGGTTCAGTTCATGATCCTGGGGTCCTGGGATTGAGTACTGCATTGGGCTCCCAGCTCAGCGGGGAGCCTGCTTCTCCCTCTCCCTCTGCTGCTCTCTGCTCGTGCTCTCTCTGTCTCAAATAAATAAAATCTTCAAAAAAAAAAAAAAAAAGTCGCCTGAGCCATCCAGCAGACACCCCTGGGGGGATTTTTTATGGGAAATAGTACTACCCTGGCAGGATAAGTACTGCTGAATGCTTAAAGGGTTTTCAGGGACTGAAGACACTTATTCCTTCAAAAATGTCATGCTGTCTACCATGTGCCAAGCTCAGTGCTAGATGTAGGTTACAAAAGCAGTTTAGACCCAGGGGTTCTTGCTTTCACAGACTCAGGTTGGGCAGGGAAGACAGACAAGGAAACAGATACAAAGTGATAAGTGCTAGGATAGAAGAAAGTTCTGATTGAGGGATCCTGGAGGGAAGTACATGTCAGCTTGTGGGCAACAAGGCCATTGAGCTCAGGCTGGAAAAATTAACGTCTTCACCAGGATAGGGTTTGGGACTAGAATATGCAAAGGCCCACAGTTCCAGAGAAGTTGGAACATTCAGTTTGCTAAGGCTGAAAGGTGGGATATATGGGATATATTTAGGGTGTGTAAGAGGTCCACGGCGCAGGGAGATAGAGTACTGAAGAATTTGGACTCTAGCCTTGGGGTAAGGAGGGATCCATGAAGGGTTTGTTGTTTTTTTTCTTCCCCTTCCCAGGAATTCTCTTTTTTTTTTTTTTTAAGATTTTATTTATTTGAGAGAAAGAATGAGAGAGAGAGAGCACATGAGAGGGGAGAGGGTCAGAGGGAGAAGCAGACTCCCCGCCGAGCAGGGAGCCCGATGTGGGACTCGATCCCGGGACTCCAGGATCATGACCTGAGCCGAAGGCAGTGGCTTAACCAACTGAGCCACCCAGGCGCCCCTTCCCAGGAATTCTTTTAGGAAGATTAAGGTAGTCACTTTAGTGTTTTAGATACATCTGTTCTGTTGCAATGGGGACAGGGTATTTGAAGGAGAGATGGGAAACTGAAGGACAGTAAGATGGCGGCCTCAACAGTCCTGGAGGGGGTGATGAGGACTGAACTTCATGAAGTAAGGAGCCATCAGGATGGAGGTGGAGGGATGACATTTTTCAACATATGTCTGAATTAGAATGTATTCATGTATTCATTTGATAACTATTGAACCCCAAATACCTGCCAGGCACTAAGGATATAATAATGAAGAACTAAATTCCCTGCTCAATGAGTTTAAGTTTTTTTCCTTTTAAGGTTTTATTTTTCTTCTTTTTTTTAAGATTTTATTTTTAAGTACTGTCTACACCTAACTTGGGGCTCAAACTTAAAACTGCAAGAGCAAGTCATACATTCTACCCACTGAGCCAGTCAGGTACCCCTCAATGAGTTTTGAGTTCTATTTGGAAGGGACAAATGATTAATAAGATGTTTAGTATTTCTCATGCTGGTGAGCTGTGCTATAGAAGAAATCAAAGAAAGGAGGGAGGTGGGGAATTGGGGAGGAGGCTGTAATCTGTAACATTAAGTAGAGCATTCCAGGAAGCCTCTGGATGTTACATTTGATCTTAGATATGGAGATGAGGGGAAGACCCATTTGGGCACCTGGGAGTAAAGCTGACTGGAGATTCTAAATGCGATGGCCTTTGAGGCCATTATAACTGGACGAGCGAAAGAGCCACAGTAGATGGAACAGAGTTAAGGAAGCAAAGAAGTGGCAGCTAGATAAATCAGAGAGGGAAGCCAGAGCTGGTGTATAGACTTGTAGGGCCATGTAGGCCTACTGTAAGAACTTGGGCTTTACTGTGAAATGAAACCAGCAGAGAGGATTTTTGTTTCTAACAGTAACTTTACTGAGGGGCACCTGCGTGGCTCAGTTGGTTAAGCGTCTGCCTTTGGCTCAGGTCATGATCCTGGGGTCGCATTGAGCCCCGCAGGGAGCCTGCTTCTCCCTCTCCTCCCCACTCATGCTCTATCTCTGTCTCTCTCAAATAAATAAATAAATAAAATTTTTTTAATAGTAGCTTTCCTAAGATGTAATTCACATACAATTCACTCATTTAAAGTGTAAACTCAGTAATTTGTAGTATATTCAGAGTTGTGCAACCATCACAATTTTAGAACATTTTCATTATCTCTTCTTCATCCCTACCCCACCACTAAAACCCTGTATCCATTAGCAGTCACTCCTTTCTTCCCCCAGTCCTAGGAAACCACTAACTTACTGTCTCTGTAGCTTTATGTATTTATGTAAATGGAATAATATAAAATGCTATTTTGTGATTGGCTTCTTTCACTCAATATTTTTAAGTTTCATCCATGTAATAGCATGTAGCAGTACTTCATTCCTTTTTATGGCCGAACAATATTCTATTGTATGATATACCATATTTTGTTTATCTATCTATCTATCTATCTATCTATCTATCTATCTATCTATCTTATCTATCTATCTGTCATCAGTAAAGGTCATTTGGGTTGTTTTGCTGCTATGAACTGTTATGTGCAAGTTTTTGTGTGGATATAAGCTTTTCATTTCTCTTGGATTTATATTTAGGAGTGAAATTGCTGGGGCATATGGTAACTGTATACTTAACCTTTTGAAGAGCTGCCACACTGTTTTCCAAAGCACCATTTTATAATCCCAAAAGCAGTGTATGAGGGTTCAAATTTCTCCACATCCATGCCAATATTTCTTATTTGTCTTTTCTATTTTAGCCATCTTAGTGAGTATGAAGTGGTATTTCTAGTATTCCCCTGATGGTTAATGATGTTGAGCATCTTTTCCTGTTAATTGGTCATGTGTATATTTTCTTTGGAGAAAGGTCTATTCAGATCCTTTGCCCATTTTTATTTTATTTATTTTTTAAAAACATGTTTTTGTTTTAAGGTTTTATTTATTTAAGTACTCTCTACGCCCAACGTGGCTCAAACTCACAACCCCGAGATCAAAAGTCGCATGTTCTTCTGACTGAGCCAGCCAGGCACCCCTCCTTTGCCCATTTAAAAATTTTATTTTATCTTATTTTTTTAAAAGTAGGCTCCATGCCCGATGTGGGGCTTGAACTCATGACCTCAAGATCAAGAGTTGCATGCTGTACCAACTGGGCCAGCCCGTTGCCCCACCTTTGCCCATTTTTAAATTAGATTATTTTTTCAATTACTGAGTTGGAAGATACAGTGAAAGATGTGAAGAGGAGAAATAATAAAATCTATCAGTTGGTGTCAGCTAAGCAAAAAGGAGAAAATGAATATTACTTATCCCTACTTTACAGATGAGGTAATGCCCAATAATGCTAGTGAGTGGCAGAGCTAGGATTCAAGCTAAGTTTGATTCCAAAAGGCCGCTCTTAGTCTTAACCAAGAATGACCAGTGCTTCCCTGACCTCTTTTAGCTTAGTTCCTTGCCCCTAATTCTCCTAAGTTGCTATGATCTCTCATCAAACTCTCCGTCTGTGGCCCGCCCAGGGCTTCCTGCCGAACTTCTTCGGAGGCGTCGGCAGATGGCGCTGAGGCCCCCACAGGCCGCTCTGTCCGGCGTGCGCTTGTCTGTGGTGCCCGTGTGCTGGCGTTGCCGCTGCGCTTCCGGGCGTCGTTCAAGGTGAGCCGTGGTCTCCGAAAATCTGCTCGCACTCCGTACTCTTCACTCCCCTTTCCCGAAGGGAACCATCCCCGGCAGCTCGCAGCCTGGCGTGCCAAGTAACGAAGCCAGGGTACCCAAGAGAAGGCCGGGTATCCACCAGAGGAAGCAGAGCCGTCCGGACGTGTAGGTCCCCGCGAGGCCCCACCGGCTCTAGACCCTGCGACTCTGCTGCGCGGGGTAGGTCGCGACTCCGGTCTCCTGGCGATCCTGGCCATCTGGAAGCGGAGCGTGACTCCTCCCCCTTGGTCCTCTTGGTCCCCACCAGGCGGCGCCGTCAGTCCGGCCCGGGTTCCCCTGCGGCTGCGAGTCCTGGCCACCCCAGGGTGTTGAGATTGGCAAGGAGAGAGGTGGAAAAATGAGCTGTCAGAGAGCATTCTACCACTAGGAATAAGTTTCCCTCGTGGACTGTGCTTTTCATCATTAGAATCTCCGGGAGTACAAGTGCAAATCCCTATGCGCCACCTCCAAAGATCCTGATTAAGTAGATCTGGGGTGGGGCCTGGAAATAAGCATTTTAGACAGCTGCTCCAGGTTGATGCCCATAGTCTGCGGACCTCACTTTCAGAAACACTGGTATAACTGGTGGAGAGGAACATTGTATTGGGTTGGCTATGGGGCTGTTTATCTTCCGGAAGGCTTCCAAGAGGAAGTGATTCTAGCTGGGCTTTGAATCGAGGGACCAGAATATCCATTGGTTCTTAACCCCACAGTGATGAATTCCCTCCCTGCTACCAGCAGGATGCAGAAGATCTCGGTGCTGCTCTTCCTGGCCTGGGTCTGCTTCCTCTTCTACGCTGGCATTGCTCTCTTCACCAGTGGCTTCCTGCTCACCCGTTTGGAACTCACCAATCATAGCAGCTGCCAAGAGCCCCCAGGCCCTGGGTCCCTGCCATGGGGGAGCCAAGGGAAGCCTGGGGCCTGCTGGATGGCTTCTCGATTCTCTCGGCTTGTGCTGGTGCTGATAGATGCTCTGCGATTTGACTTTGCCCAGCCCCAGCCCTCACACAGTCCTGGAGAACCTCCTGTCTCTCTGCCCTTCCTGGGCAAACTGGACTGCTTGCAAAGGATCCTGGAGATTCAGCCCCACCATGCCCGGCTCTACCAGTCTAAGGCTGATCCCCCCACCACCACCATGCAGCGCCTCAAGGCCCTCACCACAGGCTCACTGCCTACCTTCATCGATGCCGGCAGTAACTTTGCTAGCCATGCCATAGTGGAAGACAATCTCATTAAGCAACTCGCCAGTGCAGGTTAGTTTGGGCCCCTTTGGAGGCCAGGAATACCATAGCATATTTTCTCTGTAGAAGTCAGAGAGCCAGAACTTTGGGTGCTCAGCTGCATGCTATACCATGCTGTGGGAGGACGGGGGAAGAGAAAGAGACCAGGGCCCTGCGTGCAGCAAGTGCAGGTGTGGGCTTTGTCTTTCTGGAATTTTTAATTTGCATGGAGTGTTGGTTTTACTTTTGGGGAGCTCTCAGGGGCAGTAGAGCAATGAAGAGGAGAAGGTGTGAGTCTGGTATTCTCACAAGTTTGGAGGAGAGTGCACAGGGTCCATGCCCTGTCCACACCCTGACTTGAAAAAAACAGCATATACCCAGGAAAAACAGTGTAGCAAAGATAGCCAGGGACTGAGAACTAGCAGAGCCTTTTGTAGAAACAAGAAGTGAGAAGTCTGGTTATTGGGGAAAGTATGATTATCAGGGAAAGCTTCCTGGCAGAAAATTTTAGGCCTTGAAGGATAAAGAGTTGCTGGATGGAATTGCTGTGCCTTTGAGTGCATGGTTGAGATTTCTGATAAGTCTTTAAAGGGCCTCCTCTTCTCTTTCCCTCTGCCTTGACTCTTGCTCAGGCTGTGACCTACTCTCATGTCCCTGCAGGAAGGCGTGTGGTCTTCATGGGAGATGATACCTGGAAAGATCTTTTTCCTGGAGCTTTCTCCCAAGCTTTCTTCTTCCCATCCTTCAATGTCAGAGACCTGCACACAGTGGACAATGGCATCCTGGAACACCTCTATCCAACCAGTGAGCATGGGGCCAGATGCAGGCCTAAGACTGGGAGCTGGGGAGGGCTGCTTCGGGTCACAAATTCTAAGCCTCCCATGGGTGCAGTGGCCTGGGATTGTGTCCCTTCACATAGTGTCAGAGTCTGGCTGGGGATGAGGAGTGGGCCTTAGTCCCCTGTGCTGTGTTCTTCCTTTCACAGTGGACAGTGGTGAATGGGATATGCTGATTGCTCACTTCTTGGGCGTGGATCACTGTGGCCACAAGTATGGTCCTCATCACCCTGAAATGGCCAAGAAACTTAGCCAAATGGACCAGGTGATCCAGTGAGTGTGGGATATTGGCTGGGGGAGGGGGTTTGTGTCTGAGAATCTTAGGATATATTGACCCAAGAGAAAAAGTCTTTATCTTGGAGCCTCTTTTTTCCTGAATTCTGTCTTTACTAGGCATTTTTCGGAAGCTAGGGGCCTCATCCATCTTGAGTAACTCAGCATGTGGCTTTGGGCAGTAGGGTCATGACTGAAGAGGTATCTCTTTGCCACATGTCTAGGCCCTCCTAATGGAAGTTATGGCTGGGGGTGAATGGGTCTCCCAGGAAAATCTTTATCCATTCCTACCTCCTGACATATTTCCTGGCCCTCAGGGGACTTGTGGAGCGTCTGGAAAATGACACACTGCTGGTCGTGATTGGGGACCATGGGATGACCATGACTGGGGACCATGGAGGAGACAGTGAGCTGGAGATCTCGGCTGCACTTTTTCTCTACAGTCCCAAAGCCCTCTTTCCTGGTGCCCCACCAGAGGTGAGGCCTGGGGTGTGCTTTGTCTGGTCTCTTGGTATTCAACCGAGTCATGATCATAGCATTTTTGTGGCTCCCTCCATTTTAGGCCCCCAAATTCATGACTCTGGGCATCCCCCACTCATTTCCTACCTAGGTCCCTATGTCTTCCCTCCCAAGTCCTGACCTCAGCTCTAGTGAACCCATTGGCCCCTCTGCTTTTCCTCTAGGAGCCAGAGATAGTTCCTCAAATCAGCCTTGTGCCTACGCTGGCCCTGCTGCTGGGCCTGCCCATTCCATTTGGGAATATCGGAGAGGTAATGGCTGAGCTGTTCTCAGAGGTTGAAGACTCCCAGTCTCACTCCTCTGCTCTGGCCCAAGCCTCGGCTCTCCATCTCAATGCCCAGCAGGTAGGTGGTGGGCTGGGCTTACAGGTGACAGAGCTAGGGTGGGCATAGGAGAAGCATAATGATCACTCCGTTGTCGTTTGTTCAGTGTTAATCCCACCTTCCATAGCCATGTCCTCCTTCCATTATCCCTCCCTTCCTCCCTGTCCTGGACAGAGTTCAGGTCCCTGATTTCCAGATACACCTATCCTTGCCTCTGTCCTGGTTTATATCTCTGATGTCTTTGCTTGGTCTCTGACCATTTTTGCCAGGTATCCCGATTTCTTCACACCTACTCAGCTGCTGCTCAGGACCTTCAAGTTAAGGAGCTTCATCGGCTGCAGACCCTTTTCAACAAGGCCTCTGCTGACTACCAGCGGCTCCTGCAGAGGCCCCAGGGGCCTGAGGCAGCACTGCAGACTGTGATTACTGAGCTGCAGCAGTTCCTGCGGGGAGTTCGGGCCATGTGCATTCAGTCTTGGGCTCGTTTCTCTCTGGGTCGCATGGCAGGGGGTGCTGCTCTCATGGCTGCTGCCTGCTTTCTTTGCCTGCTGGTATCCCAGTGGGCAACATCCCCAGGCTTCTGCTTCCGCCCCCTCCTAACACTCATGGCCTGTGGTCTGGCTGGTACCATAGTGTGTGCTGGACTCTTGACAACTACTGGGCTGAAGCTGGATCCAGTGGTTCTAGGGGCCATGGCTGCAGCGGGCTCACTCCTGCCTTTTCTGTGGAAAGCCTGGGCGGGCTGGGGGTCCAGGAGGCCCCTGGTAGCCCTGCTTCCCATTCCTGGGCCTGTCCTGTTATTTCTGCTCATTCGCTTTGCTGCTTTCTTCTCTGATAGCTTTGTTGTAGCTGAGGCCAGGGCCACCCCCTTCCTTTTGGGTTCACTCATCCTGCTCCTGATTGCCCAGCTTCACTGGGAGGGCAAGCTGCTGCCACCTAAGCTGCTCACAATACCCCGCCTTTGCTTTTCGGCCTCGACAGGCCCACCGCGGCACAATGGCACACATGCTCTGGGACTTGGAGTCGGGTTGCTTTTATGTATAAGGCTAGCTGGGCTTTTTCATCGCTGCCCTGAAGAGACACCTGCTTGCCATTCCTCTCCCTGGCTGAGTCCCTTGGCATCCATGGTGGGTGGTCGAGCCAAGAATCTGTGGTATGGCGCTTGTGTGGGGGCTTTGGTAGCCCTATTAGCTGCCGTGCGCCTGTGGCTTCGCCGCTATAGTAATCTCAAGAGCCCTGAGCCCTCTGTGCTCTTTGTGCGCTGGGGGCTGCCCTTAATGGCACTGGGGACTGCTGCCTACTGGGCACTGGCATCGGGGGCAGATGAAGCACCCCCACGTCTCAGGGCCTTGGTTGCTGGGGCATCCGTTGTGCTACCTAGGGCTGTGGCAGGCTTGGCTGCTTCAGGGCTCATGCTGCTGCTCTGGAGGCCCGTGACTGTGCTGGTGAAGGCTACGACGGGTGCCTCAAGGACCAGGACTGTCCTCACTCCCTTCTCAGGGCCCCCCACTTCTCGGGCTGACCTGGATTATGTGGTACCTCAAATCTACCGACACATGCAGGAAGAGTTCCGGGGCCGTCTAGAGAGGACCAAATCCCAAGGCCCCCTGACTGTGGCGGCCTGTCACCTGGGGAGTGTCTACTCAGCTGCTATGGTCACGGCTCTCACTCTCTTGGCCTTTCCACTTCTGCTATTGCACGCAGAGCGCATTAGCCTTGTGTTCCTGCTTCTGTTTCTGCAGAGCTTCCTTCTCCTGCATCTGCTTGCTGCTGGGATACCCATCACCACCCCTGGTAAATACATTTCTCAGCCCTGATTCATCCAAGGATGGTAGTGATGTGACTTCGGCCCCTCTTGTTTTCAGGGAGGTGTTGCTCCTCTGATTCTTCACACAGTTGGGAGGGTCTTCCTGATGTAGCCAAGCTAATTGATCCCTGCCACTGGCTGTCAGGGCCAGCAAAGTTCATGAAGGAGGGAGACAGGAGTACTCCAAGACTCATTTCTTTTTTAATTTATTTTTTTCCCCCAAGACTCATTTCTTAATGGGATTGCTGCATCTTCATGGAGTGCATTTCCTGATGTGGTAGTGAGCTGTGTGTATATGAGAGAAAGAGATGGACCACAGTTCAGATTAGAGAAATGGAAGCTTAGTGCCAAAGAGGGAATTAGAATAGCAGAGTGTTGAATGTAAGGAGGCTGGGGTAAGGGGTATGTGTGTGCGTATAGCACTGAAGTAGTAGGAGTATATGACCATGAGGCTGTAGGCTATGGCTTAGGGAATGGGATGTGACTGTGAAGAGGTATCTGTCTTCCCCTAGGTCCTTTTACTGTGCCATGGCAGGCAGTCTCTGCTTGGGCCCTCATGGCCACGCAGACCTTCTACTCCATGGGCCACCAGCCTGTCTTTCCAGCCATTCATTGGCACGCAGCCTTCGTGGGATTCCCAGAGGGTCATGGCTCCTCCACCTGGCTGCCTGCTCTGCTGGTGGGAGCCAACACCTTTGCCTCCCATCTCCTCTTTGCAGGTACTTCATTCCTCTCTTGCTTCCGTTGTTTACTCTGACTTTCTGGAAGGAAAGGAAACTCCTGGATTTGAGTGGGGAGATGTGATTTTGTTGGATCTTTGGCACCCCTTGGCCAATGCTAATTGGAGCCTCGGTCAACTAGGGTGGTTGGCGGCCAGGGTGGCCTGGTCCCTAGGTCCTCCACTGATTCTAGCCCTGCCTTCCTCTGAGGCAGTAGGTTGCCCATTGCTTCTGCTCTGGCCCTTCCTCTGTGAGAATCAAGGGCCCCGGAAGAGGTGGCAGCCCCTAGGGAGGAATGAAGCTGAAGCCAGAGTCAGGCCTGAGGAGGAGGAGGAGCCACTGATGGAGATGCGGCTCCGGGATGCACCTCATCACTTCAATGCAGCGCTGCTGCAGCTGAGCCTCAAGTACCTCTTTGTCCTTGGTATTCAGGTGGGTGCAGGGAGAGATCCCGGAGTTAGTGCCCTTTCCTCATCTGTGTACGTCACATTCTTTCTTTCATACTTTGCCAAAACCCTGGGAGAGAGCCTTGACTGAAGTACAGGTAAGCAAAATGGTTGCCTAAGCCCGTGGCCTCAAGGGGCTATATTGAGACTTGAACCTGGGTCTCCTTAATCCTAGTCTTGGATTGTTTCCTCCCTATAAGGTAGATCTGGACCCTGCTGGTTGCATATGGGGATTCCTCCATTAGTGGACAGACTGGAAAAACTGAGGTGATGGCCAGGATTCTTTCCCAGGCTGTGGTCACGGATCCTCCTTCCATTCAGAGGCAGAAGGTGTGACTGACATCTTCCTCCCAACCTGGGAGGCAGAGCCTGAGTGTAATCATCAGCACAGATGGATAGTGCTTGCCCAAGGTCATGGTGGGGCCAGGAAAAGAATTAAGTCTCCTAACTCCTCACCCAGCTTTTTTTCCACTGACATGCACTACTTCCTACTCCTCCCATTCTTCACAGGGGCCTATGGCAACTCTCCCTTTGACCTATTTCCTCCTCCCCAAGTAACTTGACCTTTCCTGTCCTCCCTAGATTCTGGCCTGTGCCTTGGCAGCCTCCATCCTCCGCAGGCATCTCATGGTCTGGAAGGTGTTTGCCCCCAAGTGAGTGGATTTGCTTGAGAAGTATTGGTGTTGGGGAGGGTGAAGCTTGGAGGAAAGAATGAACATCAGGGTGGGCAGGTTTGTCTCAGGGAAAAGGCTTAGACCTACTCTCAGTGTCCCCTGAGAATTCTCCCTTTCTTTACAGGTTCATTTTTGAAGCCATGGGCTTTATTGTGAGCAGCGTGGGACTTTTCCTGGGCATAGCTTTGGTGATGCGAGTGGATGGTGCTGTGAGCTCCTGGTTCAGGCAGCTAGTTCTGGCCCAGCAGAGGTAGCCTAGGCTGCTAATGCTGGCTTCTGGCCACAAGGAGAGCTGGAGAACAATCTAGTCTGGCCTATATAAGTGCTGGATCATCTGCAAGAGAGGCTTAGCTATATACTTCTTACCACCATGCAGCCAGGAGCTACTGACATTTGGGACTTTATTATTTTATAATTCAAAATCATAGTGGGGCCTGCTCCCTAACTCCTGATTTGGAGGGTGGCCTCCAAAGGAGAATAAAATAATAATGTAAATATGTGTGTCTGAGAGGAGGACTACCCTATAGGTAGTCCTATAGGGACTAGGGGGAGGGTCACTCTCCCCTCCCATGAGGCACAGATAACATCAGCCATCTTAGGCAGACCTGGGTACACCTGAAAACCTTTGGGAAGTGGTTGAAGTTGTCTGAATTCACTTCCTCTACTTCTTCCCAAATCACTCCTGTTTTCCCACCTGCCATTTTTCTTTGCCATGTAACATATTTTATTAAAATCTTATGCTTTGGCTGATAGCAGAGATGGCTGGAAAGACAAGCCCAGGCATCATGGAGTACCCAGACTCACTGTCTAAAACCCCAAGCAGTGCTGTATTCCCTCCTCTGTTGGGTTCTTTCACTACTGAACACCCTCTGCTCTTTACTTCTGTAGAGGCCACCCTAGTGTTCTCTCATTTATCAGACCTAATGGCCCATCTGACATAGCATTCCATCTTGTCCCATTGATTATTCTCGACTTGAAGCCAAAACTATACATTTAATGCTTGTCTTGTGCTCTCCATCCACCTCACTACTGTGTCACATTGAAGTGCTCGCATGAAATTCTCATGGAAATGTCCATCAAAGGAGGGTGCGGGGAGACTCTGAGGAGAAGGGTCAGGCCTGGGATTTGATGTTTGAGAATGTCCAGGACAGGAGGAGATGAAACAGCTGAAAGAGAGAGGAACAGATGTAAAATTGTGGAATAGCATTTTTACTTGGCAGAAAGACACACTGCATAGCAGTGATTGTGAAGGAAAGGCGTTCACTGCTGTGGGGGCTAAAGGAAAAGTTGTAATTATTTATTGGCTAATAGTCTCTAGTGCCACATGGGTCAAACAGAAAGATGATGAAAAGTGTTGACTGTTTCAGGCAGTTAGAGGATAGGACATTGGTAACCCTGGCAGGAATAGGCTAATAATGAGAGAAGTTAGGCCCCAGCTAAGACTAAAAGATGAATTAGAAAAAAGTCCCTTTGCCTCTCTCAATCTGGTGGACACCATTCCGAAGCATCAAACACACAGTGCCTCTGTGAGAAGAAAAGACCCTATTTCATCCCTAGCACCCATGGGAAGGATTTCAAGACTCCAGTCCCTCACCCTGTCCTAGGGTGTCAGGTTCCACCCTCTCTCTCTCTCTTTTTTTTTTTTTTGCAGGGAGGCTCCTTTCCTGAAGCCTAAGGGAAATATGCTGATCTGCCAACCGTTGGCTATTTCCTTTTCTCCTGATCAAACTACAAAATCCTTTTGGAGAAAGATATATTATTAAAAATTCTTATCCCTGCCTCTTAATTGACATCAAAGCACCCGTTCCACACTAACTCATTATTTTTTTAAAGAGCTTTACTGAGGTATAATTCACATAAAATTTGGCCATTTAAAGTACACCATTCAATAATTTTTGGTATATTCACAGAGTTGTACAACTGTCAACACAGTCAATTTCAGAACATTTTCATCACACCCAAAAGAAACTCAGTACCTTTTCCTATCACCCTCTCACCCTCCCCACCTCCATTCCTAAGCTTAGGCAACCCCTAATCTGCTTTCTGACTGTATTTTCTATTCTGGACATTTTATATAAATGGAATCCTACAGTATGTATCCTTTTCAGTCTGGCTTCTTTCACTCAGCCTAATGTTTTAGTTCATCCATGTTGCCTCACGTATCAGTATTTCATTTCTTTTTTATGGCCAAATAATGTTCCATTGCATGGATATATCACATTTTGTTTATCCATTCATCCACTGATGGCCATTTGGGTTCTTTACACCTTTTGGTTTACGCAAACAATACTGCTATACACAATATGTATATATATATATATATATACATATTGTACATATGTAATATAATACACAAATAATGCTGCTATGAGCATCCATGTACAAGTTTTATTTGGACATATGTTTTCATTTCTTTTTGGTTTATACCTAGTGGTATACTGTGGAATTGCTAGGTCATAGGGTACATCTATGTTCAACTTTTTGAGGAACTGCCAATTTGTTTTCCAAGGCTGCTGCACCACTTAATATTCTCATTAGTGTACAAGGGTACCAATTTCTGCACATCTGTGCCTTTATGTACAATTATTTATTTTTTCTAGCCATCCTAATGGGTGTTGGAAGTGGTATCTCATGGTTTTGGTTTGCATGTTCTTGATGACTAAAGATAATGAGCATTTTTCTTGTGCTTATTGGAGAACTGTCCATTCAGAGCCTTTCTCCGTTTATTAATTGGGTTTTCTTCTAGTTTTTGATTTACAAGCATTGTTTATATATTCTAGATATAAGTACCTTGTCAGATATATGATTTGCAAATATTCATTCTGTGCGTTGTGTTTTCATTTTTTTTTTAAGATTTATTTATTTGGGAGAGTGTGTGTGTGAGTGGGGGGAGTGGCAGAGGGAGAGAGAGAATCTCCATCAGACACACTGAACGTGGAGCCCAAGGCAGGGCTCAATCCCAGGACCCTGAGATCATGACCTGAGCTGAAACCAAGAGGCGGACGCTTAACTGACTAAGCCACCCAGGCGCCCCTCTTTTTTTTTTAAAGTAGGCTCCACATGCAAGGTAGGGCTTGAACTCTTGACTCTGAGATTTAAGAGACACATGCTCTACGGACTGAGTCAGCTACCCTAGTCTTTTCATTTTCTTTTTTTTTTTTTTAAGATTTATTTATTTGAGAGAGTGAGAATGAGAGAGAGAGTACATGAGAGGGGGGAGGGTAAGAGGGAGAAGCAGGCTCCTCGCTGAGCAGGGAGCCTGATGCGGGACTTGATCCCAGGACTCCAGGATCATGACGTGAGCCGAAGGCAGTCGCTTAACCGACTGAGCCACCCAGGTGCCCCTTTTCATTTTCTTGGTAGTGTTCTTTGTAGTACAAAATTTTAAAATTTTGATGGAAGTCCAGTTGATCCTGTATTTCTTTTGTTGCTTGTGCTTTTGGTGTTCATATGTAAGAAACCCTGTCTAATGCCACAATTTAGTTTTAGAAAATTTTCATCACTCCCACAAAGTTCCTATACTTTGTTTACCATTGAGCCCCAATTTCACCGTAGGCCACTGATCTCTTTTCTGTTTTTCTAAATTTGTCTTTCCTGGACATTTCATACAAATGGGATCATCAAATATGTGGTCTTTTGGTCTGGCTACTTTGACTTAGAATTTTTTGAGGTTCATTCATGTTGAAGCATGTATCAGTTTTTGCCTCTTTATTGCTGGGTCATAGTCTGTTGTATGGCTATGGTCATACAGCTAATGGACGTTTGGATTGTTTCTATTTTTTTTTTTAGCTATTATGAATACTTTTGGAGCTGCTATGAGCATTTGCATACCAATCTTGGTGTAGACATATGTTTTTGTTTTTCTTGAGAGGATTCCCTAGAGTGGAATTGCTGGGTCATATGGTAAGCTTATCATTTACTTTTTAAGAAATTGCCAAACTATTTTCCAAGGTAACTATAATGTTTTATATTCCCACTGTGTATGAGAGTTCTAGTTTTTCCACATCCTCACCAACATTTGGTATCATCCGTGTTTTTGTTTGTTTATTTTTTTTAAGTAGGCTCCACACCCAGTGTGGAGCTAGAACTCACAACTCTGAGATGAGTTGACTGAGCCAGCCAGGTGCCCCTGGCATTATCTGCATTTTTTAAATTGTAACCATTCTGTGTGCGTACATGTGTAATGGTATCTGGTGGTTTTGTTATTTTTTTTAGATATTTTTAAAAGATTTTATTTTTTTAGGTAATCTCTACACCCAACATCGGGCTTGAACTTATAACCCCAAGATCAAGAGTCGCACGCTACCAACTGAGCTAGCCAGGTTATTTCGTGTTTTTTTTTTTTTTTTTAAGATTTTATTTATCTGACAGACACAGCGTGGGAGGGAACACAAGGGGGAGTGGGAGAGGGAGAAAGAGACTTCCCGCAGAGCAGGGAGCCAATGCGGGGCTCGATCCCAGGACGCTGGGATCATGCCCTGAGCCGAAGGCAGACGCTTGACAACTGAGCCAGTCAGGCGCCCTGATTGTTTTTGTTTGTTTGTTTTTTAAAGATTTTATTATTTAATTGACAGAGAGACAGAGAGAGAGGGAACACAAGC